CCCAATCCCATATCCCAATCCCAAATCCCCAATCCCCTATCCCAAATCCCCAATCCCAAATCCCCAATCCCCTATCCCAATCCCAAATCCCCAATCCCCAATCCCAATCCCCAATCCCCAATCCCCAATCCCCAATCCCCAATCCCAATCCCCAATCCCAATCCCCAATCCCCAATCCCAATTCCAGGCAGGAGTTCAAGGCACAGCACAGCCCGGACCTCAATCCCATATCCCATACCCCAATCCCCAATCCCCAATCCCCAATCCCAAATCCCCAATCCCCAATCCCATATCCCCAATCCCATATCCTATATCCCCAATCCCCAATCCCAAATCCCATATCCCCAATCCCAAATCCCCAATCCCAATCCCCAATCCCCAATCCCCAATCCCCAATCCCAATCCCAAATCCCCAATCCCAATCCCAGGCAGGAGTTCGAGGCGCAGCGCAGCCCGGACCCCAATCCCATATCCCCAATCCCCAATCCCATATCCTATATCCCCAATCCCAATCCCATATCCCAAATCCCCAATCCCAGGCAGGAGTTCGAGGCGCAGTGCAGCCCGGACCCCAATCCCATATCCCCAATCCCAAATCCCCAATCCCCAATCCCAATCCCAATCCCCAATCCCAAATCCCCAATCCCGATCCCAGGCAGGAGTTCGAGGCACAGCACAGCCCGGACCCCAATCCCATATCCCCAATCCCATATCCTATATCCCCAATCCCAATCCCATATCCCAAATCCCAATCCCCAATCCCAATCCCAATCCCCAATCCCCAATCCCCAATCCCGATCCCAGGTAGGAGTTCGAGGCGCAGCGCAGCCCGGACCCCAATCCCATATCCCCAATCCCATATCCCATATCCCATATCCCCAATCCCCAATCCCCAATCCCCAATCCCGATCCCAGGCAGGAGTTCGAGGCGCAGCGCAGCCCGGACCTGTCGCGGGACGTTTACCTGCAGGACGTTCACTGTGTGAGCTCGCTGTGCAAGGCTTACTGCCGCGAGCTGCCCAACCCCCTGCTCACCTACCAGCTCTACGACAAGTTCGCCGTGAGTCCCCACGGGCTCCCCAAATGTCCCCAAAGCGTCCCCGGCGCCGCGGGTGGCCGCGTCACCGCGCTGTCCCCGCGCTGTCCCCGCAGGACGCCGTGGCCATCCAGATGGAGGAGGCTCGGCTGGTGAAGATCAAGGAGGTGCTCAAGGAGCTGCCGGAGCCTCACTACAGGTGATGAAGGGGGGGGGTGTGGGGACACTCGCGCGGCCCCGGCGGTGTCCCCACGGGCGGGTGGCGGTGGCTGAGGTGTCGCCGCTGTCGCAGGACGCTGGAGTTCCTGATGCGGCACCTGCTGCGCATGGCGGCGCACAGCGGCCGCACCAACATGCACGCGCGGAACCTGGCCATCGTGTGGGCTCCCAACCTGCTGCGGTGAGCTGGCACCTTGTCACCTGTCCCCGCCGGGTGCCACCTCCGGCCCTGGCACTGTCAGTCCTGTCGCTGTCAGCTGTGTCACACTCGGTCCTGGCATTGCCACCCCTGGCATTGCCATCCCTGTCACACTCGGTCCTGGCATTGCCACCCCTGGCATTGCCATCCCTGTCACACTCGGCCTTGTCACCCTCAGCCCCGGCACTGCCAGCCCTGTCACCCTCAGCCCTGTCACCCTCAGTCCCGTTATGGCCAACCCTGTCACCTTCATCCCTGTCACCCTCAGCCCTGTCACACTCAGCCCTGTCACCTTCATCCCTGTCACCCTCAGCCCTGTCACCTTCAGTCCTGTCACACTCGGCCCTGTCACCTTCATCCCTGTCACCTTCATCCCTGTCACCCTCAGCCCTGGCACTGTCCCCCTGATCCCGTTCTCCTGTCCCTGCCAAACTTGTCACCGTTATTCCCTGTCCCCGCCACCCCACTGTCACCCCAAATCCCCAGCGTCCCCCTGTCCCCATCACCCCTCTGATCCCGTTCCCCTGTCCCCATCTCCAATCCCATTTCCTGTCCCCATTCCCCCATCCCCACCACTCCAATGTCCCCTCACCCCGCGGTGTCCCCGCTGTCCCCTCACCCCGCGGTGTCCCCGCTGTCCCCAGCTCCAGGGACATCGAGGCTGCGGGCTTCAATGGCACGGCGGCGTTCATGGAGGTGCGGGTTCAGTCCATCGTGGTGGAGTTCATCCTCACCCACGTGGAGCAGCTCTTTGGGGACGCGCCGCTCGCAGGTACCGGGGACAGCGGGGGACAGAGGGGACAGCGGGAACAGCGGGGACACTGGGGGACAGCGGGGACAGTGGGGACAGTGGGGGACAGCGGGAACAGCGGGGACAGTGGGGACGGGGGGGACAGCAGAGGGCTCGGGGGTCACGGACACCCAGGGCTGGGGGGGTCTCCAGGTGGGGAATTCACCCCCGAAATTCCCTGATCCTGGGGGAACACGGACACCCCGTTTTGGGATCCCAGGTGGGGATTGGCCTTGTCACTCCCTGATCCCAAGGTGGGGACACTGAGGTGACCCTGTCACACTGAGGTGACCCTGTCACATTTTGGGGTGCCAGGTGCAGACTCCCCCCGTCGCTCCCTGCTCCTACCTGGGGGTGCCCCCCCCCTGCACGTCCCGGCCGTGCTGAGCCAGGGGGACGGCCCCCCCCAGATGAGGCCCTACCACACCATCATCGAGCTTGGCGAGCACAGGTACGGCCGGGCCACCTGGCCACGGGGACAGGTGACACCCCCGCCCCAGCAGGGGACACCCTCAACCCATCCCCGGACTTCCAGGGACCCCCAAACCCACACGGCTCAGGTGGTCCCAACTCACTGTGGTCCAGGTGTCCCCCACGTGTGCCAGGGTGTCCCCCAGTTGTGCCCAGGTGTTCCCAGGTGTCCCCAGGTGTCCCCAGTTGTATCCCAGGTGTCCCCAGTTGTGCCCAGGTGTTCCCAGTTGTATCCCAGGTGTCCCCATCTGCCCCCAGTTGTATCCCAGGTGTGCCCAGGTGTCCCCAGGTGTCCCCAGTTGTATCTCAGGTGTGCCCAGGTGTGCCCAGTTGTATCCCAGGTGTTCCCAGGTGTCCCCAGTTGTATCCCAGGTGTGCCCAGTTGTATCCCAGGTGTCCCCAGTTGTATCCCAGGTGTGCCCAGGTGTATCCCAGGTGTCCCCACAGGAGCAAAGGCTCCCTCAAGGCCAAGAAGTGGAGATCCATCTTCAACCTGGGCCGCTCCGGGCACGAGGCCAAGCGGAAGCTGGGAAAGGCGGAAGAGAAAGGTGGGAATTCGGGGGGATCCCGTGGATTTTGGGGCAGGGGGTCTCCCCAGATCCCCCCCCAATGGCCTTGTCCCTCCCCATTCCCAGACAAGTGTGGGAAGGTCACTCTGAGGCCGGCCAAGAGCATGGACTCGCTCAGCTCCAGCCCCTCTGGACAGCCTGGTAAGAGGGACCCCGAGACCCCTGGGACCCCTGGGATTGTCCCTGAGACCCCTGGGACCCCTGGGACTGTCTCTGGGACCCCTGAGACCCCTGGGATTGTCCCTGGGACCCCTGGGATTGTCCCTGACCCCAGGGAGGGATCTTGGGGCCAGGGCAGGAATGGGGGAAGTGGAGATGGGACGGGACAGGACGGGATCAATGGGATCAATGGGATCAATGGGATGGGACTCTGGGATCCCACAGGGATCCTGACCCTGCCCTCGGGGTTCTGGGATCCCCTCCTGACCCTTTCCCTGGACCCTGGCATCCCCCTTGGACCCCAGAATCCCCCCCATATCCCAAAATCCCTCTGCATCCCAAATCCCCCCATACCCCGGGATCCCCCCTCACCCCGGGATCCCCCCCCTCACCCCGGGGTCCCCCCGCACCCCGGGCCCGCTCGGGACGCGCCCCTCCCTCCGCAGGCCCGGACACGTCCCGGCTGCTCCCGAAGCTGTCGGTGAAGCTGCGGCCGCAGCGCCAGCACAGCTCGGACGCCGCCCCCGCTGCCCCGGAGCTGGACGAGAGCCTGGAGGAGGTTCTGGAAGCGGCGGCCGAGAGCAGCACCCAGTCGGAGCCCACCAGCCCCAAAGCCCCCCGGGAGGGGCCGGGGGTCTGCGGCCGCTCCCGCGCCGAGAAATGCGCGGGGCTCCACATCTCGGGCCCCTTCTCGGTCACTGTCCCGTTCCACATCACCTCCAACCTGTCCCGCCTCACCCGGGGGCTCCCGTGCCCAGCCCTGGAGCGGGAAGCGCCCCCCGGTAGCGCCCCCGAGCCCGCCCGGGACCCCCGGCCCCGCTCCGGTGAGAGCCCGGCATGGGAACCCCCGCGGGAGCTGGGGGACGGCGGGGTCGGGGGACACCGGGATCGGGGGGACACCGGGGTCGGGGGACACCGGGATATGGGGGACACCGGGAGGACACGAGGATCGGGGGAACACTGGGATTAGGAGGACACCGGGATCAGGGGGACACCAGGACTGGGGGGACATGGGGATAGGGGAAACATCGGGATAGGGGGGACACGAGGACCAGGGAAACATCGGGATTGGGGTGACACCGGGACCGAGAGGACCGCGGGACTGGGATTGGAGGGAGACCAGGACTGGGGGGACACCGGGACCGAGGGGGATCCCGGTACCGACCGCTCCCGGTTTTCCCGGCAGGGGATGCGGAGCAGACCCGGCTCTCCCTGGAGCTCCGCGATTCCTTCGCCTTCCTGGACTGCCACGAGACGTGGCTGGAGGGCGGGGGGGACACGGAGGCGGCGGCGCGGAGCCCCGGGATCGGGAATGGGACCCCCGGGATGGAGGATGGGACCCCTGGGATCCAGGATGGGACCCTCGGCATCGAAGATGAGCCCCTTGGAATCGTGGATGGGACCCCCGGGATGGAGGAAGAGCTCCCGGCCGTGGAGGAGGGGATGGAGAGCGGGTTCATGAACGTGAGCACCCGGCGGCATTCCCGGGATTTGGGGACGGGGTGGGACCGGTGGAGGCTGCAGGAGGAGATTGGGATGGGATGGGATGGGATGGGATGGGATGGGATGGGATGGGATGGGATGGGATGGGATGGGATGGGATGGGATGGGATGGGATGGGATGGGATGGGATGGACAGGGGGACACAGTGACACCCACCTGTGTCCCATCCCCGTCTCCCGCCCCCAGCCAGGTGAGCTCTGGGCGGAGCAGCCGGACAATTACCTGTCCATCGAGGAGTGCACGGAGCAGGACATGTTCTTCCTGGCGCCTGGAGACCCCGACTCTGACCCCGATGAAATTTTCCTGAGCGCCCACGACGATCTCAGCCCGCTGGGGGCTGCCCCGGACACCCCCGAGGGACCCCTGGGCGAGGGGACAGCCCTGGAGAGCCAAGAGATCCCAGACACTCCAGGGATCCCCGAGACCCCAAAAGTCCCAGAGATCCCAGAGACCTCAAAGACCCCGAAAGCCCAGGAGATCCCAGAGCCCCCCAAAATCCCAGAGATCCCAGATATTCTGGCCCAAACAGCCCTGGAAAAGGATGGTCCGGGAGTGGAGGACCCCAATGGGGAAGGGGGTGGAGGGGAGGGGGCTGAGGAGGGGGATTCCAGCCCCAGGGCTGGGGTGGGGGGTCCCGCTGGGAATGGGGGAGTGGACAGAGCTGGATCCCTCATCCTGGAGGAGGGGGATCCCCGGGATTTTGGGGGGTCTCCTCCAGCCCCGGCCCTGTCAGAGCCCCCCCAGGAGCCCCCCGAGCCCCCGGTGCCTGGGCCCGTTCCCGGGGTGGTCCCAGAAGGGGCCGGTGTCACCCCCGGGGTCACCCCGACCTCTCCCCCTGCCTCGGCTCCCCCCAAAATCCCGGAGCTGACCCAGGCCGAGCCCCCCCAAAACCTGGAGACCCCCAAGCCCTCAGAGCCCCCTAAATCACCAGAGCCGATCCAAGATGAGTCCCTGAGACCCCCAAAGCTGATCCAGGATGAGCCCCCCAAAAACCTGGAGACAATCCGCGATGAGCCCCCTAAAATTCCAGAGCTTTCCCACGCTGAGCCCCCCAAATCCTCCCACCCCCTGGAGCTGACCCAGGATGAGCCCCCCGAAAACCTGGAACCCCCCAGACCCCTGGAGCCCATCCAGGACGAGCCCCCCAAATCCCTGGAATCAATCGTGGATGGGCCCCCCGGCTCCTTGGAGCCCCCCAAATCCCTTGAGCCGATCCAGGACGAGCCCCCCAGACCCCTGGACCCGATGTGGGCTGAGCCCCCCAGACCCCTGGAGCTGATCCAGGACGAGCCCCCCAAACCCTGGGACCCTGCTGGACCCCCAGAACTGATGTGGGACGACTGCCCCAAATCCCTGAAGGCAATCCAGGACGAGCCCCCCAAATCCCAGGACCCCTCTGGACCCCCAAATCTTCTACTGGACAGGCACCCCAAATCCCTTGGGCTGATCCTGGCTGGGGCCCCCAGATCCCTGGAGCTGACCCAGGATGAGCCCCCCAAATCCTGGGACCCCCCCAAATCCCTGGAGCTGATTCAGGACGACCCCCCCAAATCCCAGGATTTCCTGGGAGCCCCAAATCTGATCCGGGACAGGCGCCCCAAATCCCTGGGGGTGATCCTGACTGAGGCCCCCAAATCCTGGGATCCCCCCAGACCCCTGGAGCTGACCCAGGATGAGCCCCCCAAGTCCTGGGACCCCCCCAGATCCTTGGAGCTGACCCAGGACGAGCCCCCCAAATCCCGGGACCTCCCGGGAGCCCCAAATCTGAGCCGGGACGGGCGCCCCAAATCTTTGGGGTCGCTCCTGGTCGAGCCCCCCCGCAGCTGCCGCCGCCCCCTCCCCATTTCGGGGGCTCGGGTGCTGCTGGCCCGGGCCGTGCCCGTGGTGCCCCCCAAACCCCACTTTGCCCGTGCCCTGCAGGGACCCCCCGGGACCCCCCAAATCCCCCTGGGACCCCCCGGGACCCCCCAAATCCCCCTGGGACCCCCCGGGCTGAGCGCGGGCAGGGCCCCCCCGGAGCAGAGTGCAAATGAATGGTGATGAAATGGTAATAAAATAAAAATAGAAATAGAAATAAAAATAAAAAAATAAAATAAAAATTAAAATTAAAATAAAATAAAAACAAAAATAAAAATAAAATAAAAATAAAAATAATCAGGTGGCAATTCCAGCAAGAGATGCTGGTTGGTGGTTGGTTTTTATTTATGTATTTTATTTAGATACTTATATTACATTATATTATATTGCATTATATTACATTACATTACATTACATTACATTATATTAAATTATATTACATCATATTATATAGATTTTATTTATATATTTTATATTATTTACTTTTATTTTTGCATTATTTTATTATATTTTGTTTTAATTTAATTCAGCCCTTTATTTCTATTTTATTCTATTTTTATTTTTATTATTTTACATTTTACTTTTTATTATTTTTTATTTTAAAATTTTCTTTACCTTTAAAAAAAATATTTCAATTTTGTTTTATATTTTATTGATTGATTTGTTTTATTGAATTTCCATTAACTTTATTTCAATTTTTAAATTTTATTTAATTTCCTTCTATTTTATTTCATGTCTTCTTTTATTTTGTGTTATTTGATTTCATTTTATTTTATTTCAATTTCTTATGGTTTTATTTTATTTTGTTGTAGTTTGTTTTTAAAATTTTTATATTTTAAAATTTATTTCTTTCAGTTTTATTCTGTTCCACATCATTTTACTTTATTTCATTTTACTTCATTTATTTCAATTAATTTTATTCTATTACATCATTTATTTATTTGTTTATTTATTTTTATTACAGCTGCTTTTCCACAAATGGAACCCCCGGCTACCAAAACTCTTTTATTCTTTCTGCATTTTAATTTCACACTTTGGTTCTTACAGATCCCACCCCAAAGCTACAAACACTTTCTATTATCGATAATTTCCATTTTAAATATTCATTAAAATTAAAATATAGAGACTTATTTAGGACAATTTGGTGTAACAACTTAAATACCATATAGAAAACACTGTATATTTAATATATAGATAATACAAATATTATCTATAATAACAACAATATATAATAATATTTAAATAATATAATCTACAATAACACCATAGAATAATATATAAAATTTCTGTGCCAATTACACTCTATACTTTTTACAACTTTTTGCTTTTTATTTCAGGGCTGGGTTGCCAAATCCAACCCCAAACTACACAAATGTTTTATTTTTTTTTAATTAAGGGATTATTTCGTTATATGCAAATGTATGCAAATACACAATTTGAATACCTTGCATAACAACACCAGAAGTTAAACACATATTGTTATAGATCTACATACGAACAATATAAATATTATTTAAAATGATTATTTATAATAATATAATTTACTCCTAATCAACAACTCAATGTTAACGAGGCCAAGAATTGGATTTTTCCTGGATGTCGCTCAGAGCTGAAAAAAGATCAAACACCAAAAATGTTTTTTTTTTTATGGAAACGTTGGCATATTTGGGGACATTTGGGGACATTTGGGGACATTTGGGGACATGGAAAATGGGATGTGGGGACATTGGGGATAGTGGGAAAAGGGGACAGGGGGACACAGGGACATAGAAACACAGAGAAATGGGGATGTGGGGACATTGAAACATTGGGCCAGGGAGATGTTGGGACATTGGAATGTGGGGAAGGAGGACACGGGGACATTGGAGACTTGGGGACATGACGGCGTTTGGGGACATGGGGACATGGGGACAATGAGGACATTGGGGTACCCCGGCCTTTGTTTACACCGCCGCCATCTTTGCCTCAACATGGCGGCGCCCACAGCGGCCTCACCACGGGGGCGGACCGGAGTCTCCGAGCTCAGCTCCCAAACTTCCCCCGGGACTGACGGGCCGAGCTGGGGCCCCGCACCCTCGGGAGGCTCCGGCCTTGTCCCCACGGCCCCGTCGCGGCCCTCACCGAGCGCCGCCCGCTTCCAACATGGCGCCGCCCTCACTTAAGATGGCGGGGAAAGCGCCTCGCCGTCTAAGATGGCGCCGCGTTCGGTCCCGTGCTCTAAGATGGCGCCCGGCCGTGAGGGCGGCCGTGCCCGGCGCCAAGATGGCGGCCCCGGCCCAAGATGGCGGCGCGAAGCCGGGCCGGGGCCGCGTGAGTGGGAACTTCCGCCCGCGCGCAAGATGGCGGCGCGGCGGCGCCGTGCGCATGTGCGGGGCCCATGGCGAGACAAGGGGCCGAAGGCGCGCAGGGCCCGAGGCCGAGAGGTACCGGGGGGGCCCGGGGGGCCCCGGGCGGCGAACCCGGCCGGGAACGGCGACACCGCGACCCCGGCACGGCCCCGGCCGCGGGGAGGGGAGCGGCCGCGCCCGCCGGGCCCGCGGGGAGGGGCGGGGGGAGCGGCGGGGGTGACCCCCCCTCAGGCGCGCGCAGCGGGTTGTCACTGTCACCCCC